TTAGACAGACCTTCTCTACAACCACTGTAAATTGGCTCATTCGCAGCATCTAACATTTCATAAAACTTTTTTGCATCTAAGTTAGGTTCTTCAACTTCATCATCATCATGAGTTACAAAGGCATCACCTACCATATCATGAACCCTATCACAATCTACCATTTGTTCCTCTTGGTGATGATAGCTATTTTCATTACGCATATGATCAACCGATTCAACCTGAAAATTGCTATTACTACTGCTACCTTCATTCCTACAACTAGCATCATCTTCTCCATGTTGATACCAAATATAATAATATGGCATGAAACCTCTATTTATTAAATGCTTCCGAACATTTTCACGATGACTTAATTTTGTATTGCAGCATTTCCGACAAGGACATAACATCTTACCACTTTCCTGCGTGAGTGGTGTAGAATCTGCTTGATGCATAAACGTCTCCAACCCTTCGAGATATTCATTCGTCACCCTCCTGTTTTTATCTCTGTGTGAATACATCCACTTCCGCAACTCGAAAATATTTCCCGGACACGACATTTTTTTGTGTTTGATATCAAGCTTATAGCTGATTATTTTTTGGTGTGTTTCAAATGAATCACAATTGTGGTATTTATAGAAATTTTCCAATCTGAGCACTTACTAGGAAATGTAGGTACAAAACACGTTTTTGATTTAAATTTCATATTTCCTATCCAGCTCCTCCTAATTCCGTAGTAACAAATATGTTCCTCTTAATTTCGTAGTAACATTTTACTAGGACTTTACGAGGAAACTAATTTACTACGGGCTTACGAGGAAATGTACTATTTCCACGTAATTTCCTCGTAACGTTACTACGGTGTTACGAGGAAATATTTTTCTCGTACCTGTACGAGGACCTTACGAGGAAATATGGTTTCCTCGTAATTTCGAAGTAAGTTCGTAGTAACTTTACGAGGAATTATTTTCCTAGTAAAATTTCGTAGTAACTTCTTAGTTTTCTTGTAGTGTCAGCTATAATACAACAAACTCAGCCACAACATAATACATAACTCAGCCGTGATAGAGACAAAACCCAGCCACAACATAGTATAACTCAGCAATAATACAACAAACTCAGCCACAACGTAATACATAACTCAGCCGTAATAGAAACAAAAATCAGTCAGAGTATGTATGTATGACTCAGCCACAACATAATCAATAACTGCTACACCATAATATATAACTCAGCCGCAATAGATCATAACGTACATCAAACTCAGCGACAATATAAAATAACTCAATTACAAGATAATCTATAACTCATCCACATCGTAAATCAAACTCAGTCTCAATATAAGTTTGACTAAGCCACAACATACCGGAGAAGATAATACGATTGCGACGAAAATGATTGCGTAGAAACTTTTGCGGAGAAGATGTTTTCGACAAAGACGATAACATAGACAGTTCGAGACGAGACGATTTGAGTAACAGTTAGGGTTTAACGACGAAGAAAGAAAATTGTGATGTTATGATTTTTTTTTTCTACTCACTGGAAATATGGAGACGGTTGATTTTTCCGTGTCACAAAAATTAATGACGTGGATTGCCTATTTAGTGATGTGAATTTGATAATTAAAATTAAATTAAAAAAAAAACTTAAACAAGAGTCTTTATTGTAGTTTCTTAAGGGTCTGAAAATATTATAGTAATTTCTAAAAAATGTATATCATTCTAGTTTGGATATACCAACTTTTCTATACTATAGTAGTTTTCTCATAAATAAAAGTATTTGTTTATACCAGTTACAGCTCTAGCTACTTATGTAAAGACTTTAGTTAGAAAGATGGCTGGAACATAACTCTGTCAACTGAGTTGAGAATGTCAAGTGCAACACTAAAATGGATCCTCCACCGGGCTCTATACCCCAAACCCGACTCGACCCATTCAATATCTCTCTTCACCACCGTCTCTCTTCACCCTGCTTCATCACCAGATCCTCTCGTCACCGACGCTGTCGCAATCCTAACTCACCGCCGCAGCAAATCCCGATGGTCTACTCTCCGATCACTCACCCCTCCCGGCTTCACTCCTTCCCAATTCTCCGACATCATTCTCCGCCTCCGCAACAACCCTCACCTCTCTCTCCACTTCTTCCTCTTCACCCGCCGCAACTCTCTCTGCTCGCACGACGTCGATTCCTACTCGACTCTAACCCACATCCTCGCTCGATCTCGTCTCAAAAGCCACGCTCGCGACGTACTCTGCCTCGCTCTCCGTCTCGCCTCTGTCGATGGCGAAGATCGTATCTCGAAAGTGTTCCGTTCGTTGATCAAGAGTTACAATCGATGTGGTTCTGCGCCCTTCGTCTTCGATTTTCTGGTAAAATCGTGTCTTGATTCCAAGAGATCAATGGAGCTTTGATGGTAATGAGGAAGTTGAAGTCTAGAGGAATCAGTTTACAGATAAGTACTCGCAATGCTTTGATTTTAGAGGTCTCTAGGCGTAGAGATGCTTCCACTGGATATAAGTTATGTAGACAAGTTTTTGGATTAGATGATGTTAGTGTTGATAAGATTAAGCCTAATGTCAACACTTTTAACTTGATGATGGTGAGTTTCTACAGAAAAGGTAAAACAGAGATGGTGGAGAGGATCTGGAGAGAAATGGATGAAGAAGTTGGATGCGTTCCCAATGCTTATAGCTATAGTGTTTTGATGGAGACATATTTTGGGCGAGGTATGATGATTGAAGCAGAGAAGATATGGGAAAAGATGAGGTTAAAAAGAGTTGTTTATGATGTTGTAGCTTATAACACTATGATTGGTGGGCTTTGTAGTAACTTAGAGGTTACTAAAGCCAAGGAGCTTTACGGTGAGATGGGTTCGAGGCAAATAGACTGTACTTCTCTAACCTATGATCATCTCGTTAGAGGGTATTGTAAAGTGAAGGATGTTGATTCAGCTATGGTTGTTTATAGGGAGATGAAAAGGAAGAGTTTTGAAGCAGAGAGTTTAACCATTGAATCGTTAGTTGAAGAATTATGTGATGATAACAAAGAGAGAGCTGTTGAAGCGGCAGAGATCGTGAAGGAAGCTGTGAGAGAATCAGAGTTTCTTCCTAGTCAGAAATGTTATGAGTTGCTGATAAAGAGGTTGTGTGTTAAAGGCAAGATGGATAGAGCATTGAGCATTCAGGCCGAGATGGTTGGAAGAGGATTTAAACCTAACCAAGAGACGTCTAATGCTTTTATCGACGGGTATGGAAGAGCAGGTGATGAAGATACATCTTCATTGTTGGCTATAGAAATGGCTGAATCACTCAAGCTAATAGCTGAAGAAGAATATAACTAGAATTTCAGCTTTCAGTGTATTTTGCAAATGTCAAATCTCAATTCAATACACACTGAACAAACACCTCATGACCATTTTTTATTTCTCAAAGTCTTGGCTTATGAGTAGGCCAAGAGGGTAAAACTTAAAACCACATTGGTTGACAAGTTATGAGAGACAGAATCATACAAATCACTCTTACATAAACACAAATGGGAAAAAGAAACCGAGAGTTGCCGAGTGATCATGGTTTAAAAGATGATAGCCCAGATGGGGAAGACAACAAGAGCAATGATCCCAAGGGTGTTGGAGATGCCATTAGCTTTAGTGAAAGCGTTTCTGAACCCACCAGAAGCTCTAATATGTTCTTGAAGCAAGTAACATCCAATCCCTAAGCATATAATTAAGCCAACCCAGTTGTCTCTAAATGTGTAGGCTATTAGATTCGGAGCCACCACAATGAGTAGAATCGCAGCCGCCGGTAACTCAAACCATTCTGATAAACAACAACAGAGATAGCCAGTAAGCAATGAGCAAATCAAGATCAAAAGTCTTGTTCTTTATGATGGTAACAAACCTCGGAAGTGTTTAGGGAAGAAGAGTTGTACAACAACAGCTACAATCGCAATCCATTTACCAACTTCTCCTCTATGAAATTTAAGACAATTAAAAGCACATCTCTGTTTCTGATCCATAATATTTCATCTTGGGCGTACTAGATGGAAATCTCATAAAAGTGTCTTGTTTGGTTTACCTGAAAAGGCTAAAGATGACAGAAGGAAGACTAAAGAAGATGTAAGGAATCAAAAGAGCCGTGAGCATATTGGTTTTCCAGTTAGTTCGATCCAAGACCAACAAGTATCTGCATTTCATTACATCATGAGATCAACAACACAGATAAACTAAGAAAGAGAGAGGATAAGTGAGTAAAAGAGAGAGAGAGAGAGAGAGGTTACATGGCTGCGACTGAAGCAATCCATTCGAGGATGGAAGTACCAAAGCCTAAACCAGTGAGCATGAAGGTGTGATTTGCAAGGTTCTTAGCAGCAGTAGCGAGTTCGTTGAGATCTGTTCCCAGCATGTTTTGAAGGGTTCCATGGTCACTCCTCCTCATCGCCGTGAAAGTCATTTACCTGAAGAGAATAGGTTGGCAACTTTCAAAATTCGAGAGTAGAGAGAGATGGTTGTGAAAGACTCATGATTGGTGTAAGACCATTAATATAGAAGTGAATCGATGGATACTTCTTGCCACGTGACACGTTAGATCTTTGTACGAAATATTTTTAATTTATATATGTGGAATCGATCTTTTATTATTTTGTTCAAAACCGTATTTTATACATTTATGGTAGAACTTACTAATCCAATCGATGACTGAAAAGACAGGTGACACGCGTCGGGTAGTGGCTTCTCCCACGTTACGACGGACCTTCTACGAGTGTGTATTGGTGGATGTAAGCAACGATAGTTCGACTAGCTGTAATTTAATTATTGTGGAATATCTTAGCATGGATAAGATTAGAATGGTGAAAAATAAGTCTGAGATATTTTAATCTAATTCCATTGTAAAATTATATGTTTCGGGCAGTTTTAGGTGTAGTCAATAGTAAAACAAGAAAAGCATATTTGTACTTGTGTGATTTCGAATTTTCTATTATGGTTTCGACTCATAAAAATTGAACCAAATTTTGAAAAAAAAATAATTATAAATAAATAAATAAGATACTAATCTTTTTCCCCGGGGAAAAAATGAACCCTAATGTTAACTGTTGAGTGAAAATAAAAAAGAGCGTAGCAGACTTGCCAGATGGATTCAATTCATTTTTTTTATTAATCTATTTATTATTGATGTCGGCAGAAGATATTTTTTTCTTTCAACATTATTATTGCCTTGTGCACCATGAAAATCGCTTCTTAACTAATAGGGATGTGCGTTCGGGTTCAGATCGGCTATTTAAGATTTTTGAGTTTTTCGATATTGGGGTTTAGAACCCGTTCGGATATTTCTACATATCGGGTCGAGTTCGGATATTTTTAGTTCGGGTTCGGTTATTTCGGGTCGGATTCGAAAATTTAGATTTTGAAAAAAAGTTTCAGATTCTTTATTACTTAAGTTTCATGTATTTTAAATTTAACTATTAACTTAACTGTTTTTAAAATGTTTAATAAGTTAGACAATTAATAAGTTTAAAAATAAACTATTTAAAATAAAAATCATTATTTTGGTTGTTATTTTCGAATTTTGGATGCAAATTTTGTTTAAAATATGAAATAAGAAGCTCAATATGCATTTTAAATAAATAACAAATCAATTTGTTTTACAATTATATGTATATTATTTGATCTTAAACTATATATAACATTAATATAAATATTTTTAATAAAAGGAGACAAATAAACTAGAAATAAATAGGTATATATACATATGTTCGGTTATCTTCGGATATCCGTTCGGGTTCGTATATTACCCGTTCGGGTTCGTATATTACCCGTTCGGGTTCGGATATCCAAACTCTCCTAACTCAATGCCCGTTCGGGCATTTTGCTACTACGGTTCGGATTTTGGTTCAGATATTTCGGGCGGGTTCGGGTACGAGTTCGAGTATCGGATAAAGTGTCCACCCCTATCTTAACATATGTGTTTGCTGGGATTTTTTCTTTCTTTTTTTTTTTAATGTAAATACACTACAAGAAAAATAAGTTTTGATAGCAGTTCAATATAGCATTTTTTGCGTTTATGCTATGTTTGGTATATCCCTTAGTTTTAGATAGCGTTTGTATATTTGAAAACGCTATGTTAGAGTGTTATATTTGGAAATGCTATGATAAATTACGTAACACTTATGTTTAATAGCAAAACTTAATTAAAGACGTTATGTTTGACTTTTGGAATCCCTAACCCCTAAAATTAAACATAAACTTTAAGCTATAATACATTAATAAACTTGATAATATTTTAAAACTTAAACTTCAAAACTTAACATAAAATTATAAATTAAAATTTTCACACTTAATTACAAACCATTTACTTATTTTTAAACTTCAACCATAAACCCTAATCACATACTTTAACTTATAAATAGAACCTTAAACCTCAAACTTTAAATAAAATATAATTAATCATATACCATAAACTCTAACAAAAATCTTCAAAGTGTAATTTTTATTATTATTTAAATTTAAATTTTGAATTCAATCTGAAAATCTAATTTTAAATCTTAATTTTAAACCCAAAACACTATACTCCAAACCCTAAACTCATTATATTTTACACCCTAAACTCTTTATTTTGATCAAACACCCTAAACTCTAAATTTCATATTTAAGCCATACATCAAAAATATATACATATAATCAGAAAATCTAAATTTAAAAACTTTTAAATATAATTTATATAAAACACACAGTTTAATAAAAAAATATATCATTAACTATCAAAAATAAATTAACCATTGATTGTTTATAATCTAAGGGCTACAAATCCATCTTTTGGTTATCTACTAACTTGTTTTTCATTGGCCAGTTTTTTTAATTCAAGGATAACAATGCTTGACCATTGATTATTTTTGATCGAATGGTCTAAAATTAGTTTGTTTGCTTCTTCACTTTCTCTCTTCTCCGCCTCCTTCTCCTCTTCTCTTTCCTTTGCAAGTCTCTCACAGTTCCAGATCTTATCTCTCTCACTTTTTGTATTGTAAACGAGTGATTCTTACATCGTCATGCATCTCTTATGCTTTAGTATATTTTGTCTGTAAATCTAAGATGTGAGAGAAGAAGAAGAGTTAGAGAAGAAAAGAAGATTCGTCGGAGAAGACTGGTTTTTCTAGCCGCTTCTCAGATCCGTATTCGCCGGTCTCTCTCTTCACCGTACCACTACCGCCGTCACCACACTGGTCACCTCTCTCTCTCTCTCCCTCTCTCTCTCTCTGTTTGTGTTTTGAATTTGTTCCTGTTACAGGAAGGTAGACAAGGCAGAGGTGCTTTGATGTAGATAAATATTTGGGATATTTCCAAATATTTATTATTTACTTTATTAGTTATTTTAGATAATTATCTTTATTGTTTTAGGGTTTTATGGTTTTCATATATATAGGCTTCTTATGCCTAGAGTTGTATTCAATTGATTGATTATTAATGAAAGGAGTTTTCCTAAAGAGGTTTCTATAAACCACTGAGAAGAGTATTCTCAAACCCTAAGAGCTTTTAATTAAGCACCGTGAAGAGTATTCACAAACCCTAGTTTCCGGGTATTCTTAGAATCAACGGATCTAGTTCTATCTCTAGAAGCTTCCGCTACATCAGTTGGTATCAGAGCTGTGTTCCTTTGGTTTCTCAATCGAAGACGATTCTGGATGTCATGGTGAGTATTAGCATCTATCCTATCCTGGACGAAAGTCCTTTTGTTGAAAGAGAAGAGAACCATGAGATCTATCGAGAGAGCTATGGTGATCCAATCTATGATATATATGAAGACGATGTCCATCCTATTGACTTTGTTTTCAAAGAGGGATCCTTTGAAAATTCGCGTGCAAAGTTAGGGCGAAATCATATTGATGAAGATTTGATGCGTGAAAACTTTGTGCAAAAACGATTTTTTAAGATTCAAGATATAGTCAGATCCGTGCAAAATACGTGCAGTATCAAGTTCTTGGAAAATTTCTGGAAATTCTGAGATGTGTGAAACTCGTGCAGATTTCTGATATTCTTATGACAAGAACAATATTGAAGATTCGAGGAAGAGTTTTTCTTGGAAAACGTTTTGGATCCAAAGATTACGATCAAGATTCGAGGACGAATCTTCTCCAACCTGGAGAGAATGATGTAGATAAATATTTTGGGTATTTCCAAATATTTTTTATTTATTTTATTAGTTATTTTAGATAATTATCTTTATTGTTTTAGGGTTTTATGGTTTTCATATATAGGCTTCTTACGCCTAGAGTTGTATTCAGTTGATTGATTATTAATGAAAGGAGTTTTCCTAAAGAGGTTTCTATAAACCACTGAGAAGAGTATTCTCAAACCCTAGGAGCTTTTAATTAAGCACTGTGAAGAGTATTCACAAACCCTAGTTTCCGGGTATTCTTAGAATCAACGGATCTAGTTCTATCCCTAGAAGCTTCCGCTACATCATGCTTGATGGAGGAGGAGGTATCAGAACCATTGTGTAACTGGAAGACAGCGACGTGAAGCTCCAGTGGTGACGCGGACAGTGGTGGTGACGAATGGAAGAGGACGACAAGGACTTCACGGCGGCTCTTGTGATGTGGAAGACGATGACAGCTAGCATTTTGGCTTCCAGGTTTTAGATTAGGGTTTGGTTTAGATATAAGCCAGTTTAAGTTTAAACCAATATTACTTTGTAAACAGATTTTATAATAAATCAAATTATTTTTATTTAATTGTTCTGTCTGTAATAACAAAAAATAAACGCTATTGAAGAATATTTAATTGCAAATAAAAAAGTGCTATCGATTCCAAAGAAAAGATAGCACCGCGAAAAAGTGTTATCTAATGTGCCATACCTACTAAGACGGACGATGATACAGTGTTTCTTAAACCGCTGTTGAATCGTTAGATAACGTTTTTTGTCCGCTAGTAAAACTCATTTTTCTTGTAGTGATATTTAGAGGGTCAATTTGTGTAATACCCAGTTTTTATACACAGCTTGTCGGTGAGTAAATGATATGTATGGTAAATATTTAAACGATGGTGTCTGGTAAATTAAGATTACAGTGGTGATAGGCGGCGGTGATAGGTGGTGTGTGGTGGCTGGTGTGGAAGATAAGATTACTTCCATCAACGGGTTTTTATAGGGTTCTAAACCCAAAAGCAAAAAAAAAAATTAAATAAAAAGGCCTAATATAAGAGAATCGTTGTCTAATTCAGGTTTTTTGGAGATGATAGGAACCGTCTATGTGTCACTCTCTTAATGCACTGCACATATATTGCTTCTTTCTCCTTCGTTGCGTTTAGACGAAAGCCAATTGTGTTTTCTCTCTTGGAGTCTTTGTCTTCTCTCTCACTCGATCTTCTCTTGGACTCTCCGTCGCCTCTATCGTCTCTGTCTTCTTTGTCAGTCTGTTGGCTCTCTCGCTCCATCGTCTGTCTCGGTCAGCGTTCTCTCTCGCTCGGCCTTCTCTCTCAATCCGTCACTCAAAGTCATGAGTTATGACATAATCTCGTTCCGGTTCGATCACGCGAACCTAAAGAAGCGGTCTTTTCAAAAGATCTTCTACATAGAGATTGGTTAGTTTAGATAACACTGCATGATCTTCTCAACTAAAAAGATTAGTACTTTGATGTTCTTAACTTTGTCTGTTTTGATCTTTAATTCGTTGGTAATCATATTCATCGAATATACTTTCTAAGAAGTATCATTAGCTTTGTCATGTTTTCAGATGCGTGCTATGTCAGAAACGAGCTGCTTACCCTGCGGAAAACCTTTGTGTTATCGAAATGATTTTAGTTAAGTGAAAATCTCTTATAAAGATACATTACTCTCTCTGTACAAGATGGCTCTGTTTTGGTTTGGAGATACAATACTGTCACTAGCTGTTTTGATCCAGCCGCATCACTTACGGGCCACAACCTCGCAGTTGTTTCTTTATATGTTGGAGCTAACGAACTCTATTCCGGTTCCATGGACAATTCTATTAAAGTATGTAGTGGTTATCATGGGTAAATTAAAATACCCAGTATGTGTTTTTTGATGTATGCTTTCTCCATGTTTAATAGGTTTGGAGCTTGGATAATCTGCAGTGTATACAAACCCTTACAAATCATAATTCAGTTGTCATGTCCCTCATTTGCTGGGATCAGTTCCTCCTCTCATGTTCATTGGACAATAATGTGATAGGAACTGATGTATTATATTGATAATCTCAAACTATTGTAGTTTACAATCCTCTCACGAGCATAATCGCAAATCTACAAAGTTCCCTCTCTCTCACTTCAATACAAATTCGTTATCCTTTACAAAGTACTTCTCTCTTTATTTATACTATTCAATAATACTGATAACGGCAAAGCCTCTGCTTCATTCCAATTCTTTGCTTTGCACCTGAACGTTATCCTCCTTCATGTGTTTAACTCCTCTTCTCTTCCTCGTATACACCCTCCAAGGCTTATCAATACCCCCTTCGGTGAGACGCAGCTTGTCCTCAAGCTCAAAAGCTGGGAACTGATGACGTACATCACGAATCAACATCCAAGTACTCTCATGGGTTGGCAATCCTTGCCATGACAACAACACTTCCAAGCGACCATCTTCAGTATAACGAGTATCCAAAATCTTCTCAGGCCTGATCACAAGCTCATCATTCATCGACAGATCCGTAGGCAAAGGAGTGACCTTATGAGCTTTCCCCAACACAGGTTTCAGTTGAGAGATATGAAACACTGGATGGATTTTAGAAGCTGGGGGAAGTTGTAAACGATAGGCTACTTTTCCAATCTTCTCCATTACTTCAAAAGGACCATAGTAACGAGCTGCCAATTTCTGAAAAAACCGTTTCACCACTGAAGTCTGACGATAGGGCCTTAGCTTCAAATAAACTCTAGTCCCAACTTCAAAGGTGAGGTCCCTGCGATGCTTATCAGCCATGTTCTTCATCATGTCCTGAGCTTTTAGCAAATGTAACTTCACATCTCGCAACATAGCATCACGTTCAGTCAAAAGATCCTCAAGTTCTCCATTAGTGGTAGACCCTGGCTCAAACTTCAACAATGGTGGTGGTTCTCGACCATAAACCACCATAAATGGGGTCGTCTGAACAGATGTATGGTACGAAGTATTATACCAATACTCTTCCCAACTCAAATACTCAGCCCAACGACGAGGATGAACCGAAGTGAAACACCGAAGATATGTCTCGAGACAACGGTTAACCACTTCCTTTTGACCGTCAGTTTGCGGGTGATACGCCGTACTAAACTTCAGAGTAGTCCCCATTGACTTAAACAACTCCTTCAAGAAATGGCTCTGAAACACTTTATCCCTATCTGATACGATGGATTTGGGAATACCATGTAACCTTACAATCTCCTTAATGAATTTCTTTGCCACGTGCACTGCTGTAAAAGGGTGACGAAGCCCAAAGAAATGGCCAAACTTAGAAAGTCGATCTATCACCACCACAATCACATTAAACCCTTGAGACATAGGTAGACCCTCAATGAAATCCATGGATAGATCCTCCCAAATTTGAACTGGTATAGGCAAAGGTTGAAGAAGTCCCGCAGGTGACAGTGTTGAGTATTTACAAGTCTGACATACCTGACACTGCGCCACATACTCTTGCACAACACGCTTCATCCCTCTCCAATAGAAACTTGCTTGGATCCTCTTCAGTGTTTTCAGCACACCTGAATGTCCCCCTGTCAAATTATCGTGATACTCATGTAAGAGTAGAGGTATAGAAGCTGATGTAGACGGCAAAACTAGACGTTGCGTGTAAAATAAGCGACCCTCCACCAGAGAATACCCTTCTTTAATAACACTCCCAGCCAATAACTGTTGAATTTTTGACTGTATCTCATCGCAAGCATCAATCTCCTTCAGTAAGTCCTCTAATTGAATTACCTTAGGGACTGTCATAGCTAATAACCATGTCGAAACATGGTCATGAGTAATACGAGATAAGCCGTCAGCAGCCTTGTTCTCCACTCATGGCTTATAGACAATATCAAAGTCATATCCCAACAGCTTGTGTAACCAACGTTGATACTCCAAATTCACTTCCCTTTGCTCCAATAAAAATTTTAAGCTCTTTTGATCAGCCCTCACAATAAACTTCTTCCCCAATAGGTAGTGTCTCCAATGTTGAATGGCCAACACTATTGCCATTAACTCCCTCTCATAGATGGGCTTCAATCTCTCTTTATCTGTCAAAGCATAACTGAAATATGCTATAGGGTTTTGTTTCTGCATTAAGACCGCACCTAACCCTGTACCAGAAGCATCTGATTCAATGATGAATGTCCACTACAAGAAAACACGTCCTTTACTAGGACGGGTTTTCCTCGTTATTTCCTAGTAAAGGGCCCTTTACTAGGAAATAGCGAGGAAAAGTGTTTTGTCGAAAGACGTTCATCGTAAAGGCTATTTTCCTCGTAAAGGCCTAGCTAATTTACGAGGAAATTTTTCCTCGTAAAGCCGTGGAAAACATTTCCTCGTAAGCTCCACGTACACTTTCCTCGTAAGGGCGTAGTAAAATACTTCCTCGTAAACTCGTAGTAGACACTTTACGAGGAGTTTGCTAGGAAATTTTACGAGGAATTTACCTCGAAATCTTTACGAGGATTTTACTTCGAAACTATTTTTTCCTATTAAAAAATAATAATTATAAATTAAATTATATATATTTAAAAAATTAAAAAAATAAATAAAAAATATTTATAAATAACTAATAATATACAATAATAAGTTTTAAAATTCATAATATACAATGAAAAACTAAAAAAAAACTAAAAATGATGCTGGTCTTGATCAAATTGGTTCACGAAGTCGTCTCCAGGGTCGTTGGATGCCGGCTGTGACTGAGATGGTGGAGGCTCTTGGGATGG